CTATTTGTATCTCAGTAAGAGTTACAATCACTTTCTCCTATACACACACACACACAGAGTCTCCAAGAGCTGAGACAGACCACTAACCAAATGTCACATGACAGCCTTCAAAATAACGCTCTTGCATAACCATAAGGGCCTGGAAGCAGAGAGTCTGTTTACAATGATCCAGTCTGAATTTGGATGACTTTCTGTAGGCTTTCTTTGTGTGTGTGTGTGTATTTGTCTGTATCTGTGTTTGGTCTCTATGCCCTCAGACATTGCTCACATCTTTCATCTCACTGTCCTGATGTTCATCAGCTGAGCGTAGCATCACAAAGCAAGCTGAAACACGACATCAGCAAAAACAACATGAACAAACATGTTAGTAGGCGCTGGTTCTTTCTAACAAAGTAGTTGAGGGTCTGCTTATTTAAAAGTTAACTTAGAAAGTTAACTATAAACCTCCTTTTTGACAAAACACACAAATATAAACCACATGTTGTAAACGAACTATTTCATACTTCAGGGGTGTTAAACTCCCTTCAGTTAATGGGCCGTATGAAGCTCAGTTTGATTTCATTAAAAAATTCCATAGCTTAGATTTCCTTTAATGTTAAGAAAGCTTGATATAAAGTTAAAGACACAAAAGATTGACTAAACAAGATGCCACCCATCCAGGCAATCAATTCAGGCAGCAAGTTTAGTAGTTAGGCTGTGTATTGAGCATACAGTGACCTGAGTACAATACTCTATGGTAGACATTTGGGAACTTGACGTGACTTCAGGTCAAAAAGAAAAACAATACAGGCGACACGAAGTGGTGGGTCCTGAAATAAAGTTTCTTTGAAGCATCAATTGAAGCAACTACCAATGAGAGCGCAGCAAAGAGTTAAGTGACACATATTTGAGCTACCTAGGCAAGTAGAGCCTGGAAAGATAGCTAGATGACTGAAATTAAAAAGCAAGAGAATCGCTCCGTGTGGATGCAGCTTCCATGGTTTTTCGCTGGTTGACATTCCACATTGTGTTTGCCTAAGTAACCCTCAATCTATCAGAACTGTTGAATGGTAGAGCTGCATCATCTCCATTCATGCTAACAGACCATTTTTTTTTAAAGCAATGGTGGATCATAGAGCCTTGCACTAGTTCAGAAAGTTAGCAACATATGCTAGCAGCGCTATACAGATATAGCAGCACAAAAGTTTGAGATGCATTTTTAAAAGGTAAGAAGTTAAAAAAGAAGCTGTCCGCTAAGCACTTGCAGGCACTATTTTTAAGGTTATATGACCCAGTTAACAAACGTGAATTCTGAACCCTGGCTGACACAACTGACTTAATCAAGGGCTCTGGCATTATTTACCCTGACATATGTCAATCATTGGTGTCCTGCACTCTCATTGGTAGTCCTTTCATTCAACTGCCAGTGGTTATTTCTCCCATAGTCATGCGGAGTCTTCAAATGTCATTCACTTCCTGTGTGGGCGCAGTTTTAACAATGTGTTATTACATTCACACTAAAGACCACAGTGGCTCTAAAAAAGCATATCTTGAACAGGTTTTGGAAGGAAATGTTATTTTACTATTTATGATGCAAAAAAGTTGACATACTCTAGAAATGCTTTTAACTTTCCATGCATTTTCTCACCCAAGTGCCCACTAGGAGTAGCAGTGGATTTTATTGAAAACCCCCAAAATATTAATGACTAATGATTAATCAGTGGCAAAGCTATCCAGTGGGCTTGAGTGAATGCACGCTTGACACCACTGGCCTGTTTTCTTGACTGCTTATTTAACTCAGGGTCATAGAGAGGCTGGGATCTAACCCAGCTGGCACAAGGCGAGGGCAGGAGGGTGCCAGTCCATCATTGGGCTAACACAAAGAGACTGACCATCGCATACTCTCACCTCCACACACATGTAGCCAGTTTGGAATCACCATTTAACCTCAAAAGCATGTATTAGGACTCTGAGAGGAAGCCAAAGAAAGCAATAATAAGTCATGTGCTGTTTTACTTTGTGATTCTTAGTCTGTTTACACTGTTGCCAGTTTTATTTCCTGGCCTTGTTAGTTTGCATGTTCCATCCCGCTAAGTATTTCAGCCGTGTGGTCCTTCACACCTGTTTACAGATAGCCATCAGTCTCCTCAGCGTATATATACCTGAATTTGTTCTTCTTACCTGCCAGAGTGTGTTGTCTCCTTCAAGCTTTCCAGTATTCCTAGGGTTTTTCATGCCTTTTTGGTGCTCGTAGTTATTTTCTGGACTTCAGGTACTTTCTGTGGAGTTTGGACTTTTGTCAAACTCAAAACCGTTCTGCATTCAAGCGATGGTGCTTAAATGCTGTATTCCCTACTGCCCTCATTTCAAACATGCATGCACCTTAAAATGAAACCTCAGTCTTGTTTACAGCCTGTGGGAGTAGAGTTTATATACACACACATTCTCAGTCTGCCACTAAGCACTCAAACACAACATATTTTTATACCAAATATTCTTTATTTCTCAGGGTATAAAACATCTGTACAAATATATCAAACACAAACCAAAGCCCTCGGTTAAACAGAGAATTGCAGCAGTGTTTTTATATGCAGAGAAAATGAAAACACTGGCGCTTCACACAGTCTCAGTGGACTGGTTTCCTAAGAGAAGCTTTCAGCTGGTGTCTCATGTGAGTGAGCTCAGGTGTCCTCTAGGGGGTATCAACCTCAGTAAAACAATCGAACCTCAAAAATGAGACCTTCTGTTGGCAATGCTTCTGTTTACACTCACATAACCACGTGGTGCAGTCTTGTGCAATCAGAAATTAGGTCAACATGGGCATTTAGTGCCCAGTTAGGTCTAAATGTGCATGAAGTTGCACATTTAGACCTAAAGTAAACAGAGGATCAGTTCTTGTTGTAGTCTGGCTCAAACATTTTCCTATTGGATGACTTTAACTTGCTATCCAATAGCACTACACAAGTTACTTATTGATAAGTGTCCTCAGCAGGGATAATTAGGTCACTCTGGAATCCAGTTCCAGCACCAAATCTACTACAATAGCTAAACTCAACCACATCTCTGAAAACTCATAGCTCAATAACACCTATAAAACTCCTGACTTTGGACCTGCTCCAAACACAGAACATTTCTGTCTTAGCTTTAGAAGAATACCAGCACACCACGTCTTCTCTGACTGTCTTTAAACACTGTTCACTTCCAGAGACCGATCTGTTCTACATTGCAAAGCCTTACATCCATCATACAGTGCAGGGTGCATGCTGCTGTTGAACACTTGGGGGAAATGGGGGGGGGGGCAGCTAAAAGAAGTAAAACTTAATCTGTGCTGTTTTCTGGTGATCACGGTCATAGTCTTACACATTAAAAGTTGTATCACATGACAGCAGTTTGAATTGTAATATCCTATTAATCAGTCAGTCATGAACAGAGTGGCATAATTTGCATGCTTTATGGAGTCACATTTTAATGTATGAGGAGGAGAAAAAAAAACATCAAGGAGAATTTACCCTGAAATCCAACTCAGACTTATGTAAGAATATGTTGATCTAATGTATTTCAGTAGTTATACATTTTTAAAAATTTTCTATTTACTGAAAGACTGCAGTAAGCAAACATCCTGCTTTCCAGAAATTTTAAACTAGGTAAAAGCTGATAAAGGGAAACACAAGCTATGATAAAGACTCTGCATGACCTTTAGCCTACTTTACTGCACCATCAGCCAAGACTGCTCACAAACAGCAAGACAAGTAACCTATTATGCCTTTTCCCCTGCAAGAAACAATGCGTTTGCTATCAAGCCTAAAACACCGTGAAACAGTGAAACCATTCAGTCTCCACTGTAACATCTTCAATAGAAAGCTACCAAGCAGCTCAAGTAAAACCCATTCTAAAGCTGATCTGTTTTGCTTTTCCTTATTTTCTGTTATACATCAACTGTTACACTCATAGATGGTCGTATTAAACAGCCAAATTTTCAAATAATGACATCAGATATCCCTGTGAGCCCAAAGGCTGAGGCTGTTTTTTTACTCTTGGATCTTTATGATGTCAATGAGAGGTGA